CTGTAAGATAAAGCAAAGTAGTGATAGGCCTCAAAAAATGCTCTGAAACATGTTTTAAAGAGAAATACTTCGTTAATTTTTTTACCTAAAAATTCTGTTGCCTAAGGTTTTAAAAACTGACACTATACATTTAGAAAAGAATGACATGAGTTGATTATAGACCACACCAAAACTTATTCCAAAATTTAATAATTATTTATAGAAGAGTAGAAATAGAAAGAACTAAGACTTATTACAAACTACAAAATGAAATATATGTAAAGAAAGAAAAAAGAAAAGAAAGTCCATTACCAAAAAAACCCAAAAAACTTTTAATGTTCTTTTAAAAGGGCACCTCGTACTGGGTCAGTCATTTCTTGTCTCAAGTGTCCTCTCCCACTTCGGAACCCCATGTCAGGAAAAGGGAAGAGGGTGATGCACAATTCAGTGAATCAAATTACTTCCTCTTGACTGAATATGATTTAAAAATTAAAGTTATCTTCTCATACAATTAATTTAAAAATGCACAAGTCCTATCGACAGTTTTCAATTCCCGCTCTCATCTGTATAATTGAAACAAAGTTTAAATCTACTACATTCTGAAGGCATAAATCTCCTCAGTTTTTCTATTTCCTCTCTCCTTAGCTCCTTCTCTGCTTTTCCTGGTCCTGCTTGCCCACGTGTTTAGAAAAATGGCGACTGAATGCCCGACTACTGGAAAAGACCGTTTTCCAGCGGGGTGGAATTTGGGACGTAACAATACTGGGGAGGGTCACACGGCTGACCCCGGTCACCTCCCCCTACGCGGGATGGGGGAAGGGCTGACTACCAAGGGGAGGCCCGCGGAGCATAAGGACCGGCCTGAGAGGATGCGGGGACAGAGGGGATGGGATCCCAGGAGGGCCGGGCTCCCCAGAATCCCGGGAACCGGGAGAGGACGCCGTGCCTCACGGGAGCGGGGCGGCGGCGCCGCCCGCCAGGGGCCGAGACGGCGAGGCTGGGAGCGCGAGTCCACCTCGCGGAAGAGGACGTTACATGGGGAGGACGGAGGGAGTAAAGGGTTTTACGACGGAAAATATCACCAAAGGCCGTGGCAGAAGGCAGAAAAGCCAAGGGCAGGGACCAGCCTCAGGGCGTTATCAGACGCGAAGGAAAAGATCCCGGACCTGGAGCGGCGTCGCCTGGATTTAGGTGGGGAAAGGGCGGGCGAGGGGATTTTAGGTCCTCGCTGACTCCTACAGCCTGAAGTCGGACTAAAGAGGGACTGCGCGGCCGATTCACAGTATAAACAAGAAAGTTTACATTCGCCCGTGTGACCGTCCCTCGGCGATCCTTGCTTCTAGTCCCGGAAGAGACTGCAAAAGCGGGGCTAGAGGCGGGACTTCCGGGGGCGGGGCGCTACTGGCGGGGGCGGGGCTGAGGGAGCCCGAGGAGGGGCAGCGGGCGGGCAGAGGGTGGTGCTTCCCTGTACCTTGAGTGTGCTTTTTATAAATTATTGTCTTTTACAATTTTGAGGTAAAAGCTATTGTCTTTTACAATTTTGAGGTAAAAGCTTAGAGTTGTGGACTAATTATGTCGGAAACGAAGATTTTTCCCCCTAACAAGTTCAAAACGGTTCCAATAAAGAGCAGTTTTGGCCAGCAGGTGGCACCCTTGTCCCGCTCATGAGGCTCAAGGAATTCAGTGGTTGGGAATCACGGTCTGCAGGTGGTCGCTGTGGGGCGGTGGTGGATCCCCGGATTTTCGATTTTTTCCCCTGCAAGTGGAATTAATTTAAGCAGTTTAAGGTAACGAGAGTAGGACTTGTCTCTATATTACAAAGTAGAATGAGAAATATAAAACTCTCTCTGGTTAGAATGTTCCATTTAAGACTGACACCGTACAGAATAGCTTTTCCTTAAAATTCCTCATTCAGCCAAGATTCCAGCTCAACGCTGTCAGTTCCAGAGACTCAGAGAGAAAACTTGGGGTCTGACACTGAAGGACTAAGGCATGTGATAATTTTAGTCACTAACGGCTATTGATTTTAAAAGAATATTTTTTACATTGTTATAAATTGCATTGTTCTTTTAATCTTTTTGCCAAAGGGTTTTTATTTGCCTTTTTTGTTCTCTATATATATTTATGGAAGTATAGTCAGTTTACAATGTTGTGTCAATTGCTGGCACAATACTTCAATCATATAGGAACATACATATATTAGCTTTCATATCTTTTTCACCGTAAGTTACAAGATATTGAATATAATTCCCTGCTTTACAGTATTAACTTGTTGTTTTATCTATTTTATTTGCCTTTTAAAACCACCCTTTCCCCCCCGATTTTGATATGTACTTGACATATATGACTGTATGAGTTTAACATGTACATGTTAATGCTCTAACTTACATATATAGAAATAATTATCACAGTAAGTTTCTTACTTTTTTTGTTATTTTTACCACAATAAGTTTAGTTAGCATCCATCATCTCATATAGATACAATAAAGAGAAAGCAAAAAAATTGTTTTATGACAAGTGAATTATTCATTAAAATACTTGCTCTATTACACACTTGTCAGAATTACCTTTCACTATCTTTCAGAAAAAGATGTTTCTGAAATAATGCAAAAGTGTGTAACAAACATAATGTACTTTCAAACAATATGCTTGATGTGCGTACAGTTAGAAACTTTTACTTTTTATTTCCAAATTATACTCTATTTTAGCTCTTTTCTATTTTCTATTTCTGAAAGTTCTGTAAAGTGTGGATGTCAATGCCTGTAAAATAAATAGTCTTCAGAAGACATTGGGATTTATTTCCATCTAAAGAATAATTCTATTGCAATAGTTCTAAGGGCATTTAGTAGGCAGGTATATTCTCTTTAACAGGAACCTAAAAGAAAGTAAAATTAGATTATCAAATATACAATAACTGCATTTTGACCCACAAAATTTTTATGGCAATCTTTGAGATCACATCCACTACAAAGTATGTTTTATCACATCCCTGCATGTGAAACATTTCATCCATAGACACAGCAATCATTGAAATGTAATGAAGTTTAGATAGGGAAATTAGTGTATTTAAATATTTTAAGGTAAAATTAGCAGAATATCCTGGTGTAGCACACATATGAATATAAGACGATATGTCACATTTATAAGAGATGCAGTGACTCAGGTAAACTGTGTGAACTTTATTAGCTAGATTACCCTGTATCACACAGTATTTGTAACTAGTCACGTTGGCAAAACAGACTCTTCAGTGTGGACTTTCATAATTCCGAGCAAATAAATTAGTCAATAGTGGAATTTTTCATTAAACAGGCCCTGCCATGCCATCTTTCATTCTTCTCTGCAAAAATCTGCCCCTGTAAACCTGGACCTACTGAGGATCCAAATGCTAAACACAAATTAGCGTTTATAAGTTAATTTAGCAGTAGCCTCATATTTTTGAGAATAGACAAATAGTTTCCAAAACTCCCAGAAGAAAACTTGCTGTTTCTGTCTGTCCATTTGTTTGCTGAAGCCTTTTGGAAAGTCATCCATCCTGTTCAAAATGGAGAACCACTGTTTTAAATAACTGCACCTTAAAGGGCACCCTTAAAAAAAGAGGATTCCAATCCCGTCTGTAGACAATGTATTCTTTGACTTGTATGCAGAAGCTTCCAAAAGATGAATCACCTTCAAGAAGGCTTTAAAAGATTCCATACACCGTGCAAACTGAAGTTGGATCTACATATGCTTTTGAGTTCAGAGTTTTGAGTTCTGAGACATGGCTAAAAGTTTAGGGAAAATATATGTTTTTTGTTTGCATCTGTCTGTATTTTTATGTGTACCTCTATATATGTATATGTGTATTGAAGGTGTGTGGTATTTTTTTTCCTCAATTGGGATGGCGTTGCTAAAATCACTTTGTAAAAGAACTCCATTTAATTGGCTTAAAAAAAAAACAAGCACATATAGGAATTAAGGAAATATAACAGAAATCTAACTAAAATGCTTTGCAAGTTCATGCAATGTGGGATTAAATTTTAGTACATGAAAGCTAGCTTAAGGTTGTCGGTTCAATGAAAATAGACATATCTTTGGAGTTATCAAAACAGAAAATAATACAGGCATATACTTTTTATCCTAGTTGGCTTTTTTGGCCAAAGAAGTTTGCTATCTCAGTTAGAAAAGTGTCAGCAATAAAAATAATGTGGTAAAATTTTGTGTGAGTAGTCTAAACAGGAAAGTTGACAACAACTGAACTGAATGGATATGTGTGAGATCAAAGTTTAGATGTAAACATTTTAAATTGCTTTCCCAAATCTTTGGCAACATAAAACTTTACACTTTTGCTAAGTTAAATTAAAAGATGGGTAGTTATTAAATATCTAGATGATTTCCAAATAAAATACCGAAACATTACTAAAAATAGATGCATTCAATTTCGGCTTCCTTTACATAGGAACTAAAGATAATTGAGTTTAATGTTGATAACACTCTGGTGCAAAATTTAAACTTGGGTTTTCTCTCTGAAAAAAAAGGAAAATATTTGTTTTTTTAAAGAAAAAAATATTTGAATACTGGTTTGCTCCTAATAATGGATTGTGAAAGGTTCTCCCTTACCTTTACATAAAGTGCTTAGAAAACAAACATTTGTGTTTTACTGGAATTATTTCCTATACTTCATATTGTCTTAAATAGGTCTGTGATTACTAAAAAAAAAGCCTAAAACTTCTGAACATAGAAGAGGCCACTATTCCTTACAACTCGATAACCTTTTCTATTTGTCACTGAAATCTTTCAGTGTTGCTTTGAACAAATAGATAATTAAGTATCATTTCATAATGATCTGTCATCCGGTACGCGCAAATGTACAAAACCTTTTGACAAATGTTAGTGACACACCTGCTCAAAATCAGTATCTGAGGGAAGACTTTTTGACACTGAAATAACTAGGCTCTTCTCAATGTCCCCTGGGATATTTTGAGATTCCTCTCTCACCGGGTAAAATGTGGAACCAATCAGGTTAAATTAAAATAGAGCTTTGGCAAATTAAACAAACAAACCAAATATTTGAACCTTATATTTGTCTAGATGTATGTTAATGTATTTCACAATTGTATGAAATTCTTCAAATTCTAAGATGTCTTAAAATAATGTTATCTATCATAATGTTAAAATATACATCACAGAAATAAGCAGATCTGTTTGTTAGTCTCATTATATTGACCTTTCATTAGGTCTTCAATAATAAGCACTTTTAAGACTTTTTGTCATTTACTGACAATATGGCACAACTCTGATGCTGTTGCAAATCTGTTTCATCTTCTGAGAACTTGTCTGAAGGGACTCTGACCATCACTGTGAAATCCGACTCTTGTGAGGAGATGGAATGTAAGTGGAGAAGACAGGTCCTGAAAGAAGGAAGGTGCCGGGTGACTGAATGAACAGGTGTCAGGCTGGATACTTCAGAGTCAGACAGATTAGCAAATCCAAAGAAGGGCATTTCAGGAAGCACAGTTGAAACAATCAACTGAGAATATGACTTTACCTGAGAAAGAGCCATTCCTGACCTCTTTTCTCTCCTCTTCCTCCTCTCCTGGGCTTCTTCCTCATGCAACATGAGTCTTGAGAACTCAATTTGAAAGTTGGAAAGATGCAGCTTAATGCTGAGAATCAACACAGCCCTTCCTGTGCCACAACCACACACACAGGGGAGACCCCACTACGTGGAACACAGTCCTCTGCTGCCCGCTGTCACAGGAGGGACTCAGGACAGGAAACTCCACACACAGACAAACAACGGAATTTCCCCACGCTGTCCTCAGATCACCCTCCCCTCCTGGTGAGCCCCTCCCCTACACGGCAGCAGTGTGCACCTCAGCTGGACCCGACAGCCCCCTTCAGGTCACAGACCAGGCCCTGATCCATCCCCATGCAAAGCAGAGCCCCCTCCCCCTCAGCCCGGATCCCAGCCCTCAGGATGGGAGGACTCAGAGTCAGGATGCTCAGTGAGGGACCCAGACTGGAATCACCTGGGGCTCCTTAAATATTAATGAGGTTGAACCCCACACAGACTGAATGAATGGGAATTTCTGGTCTGAGGGTATAAAACATGTATATGCAGAATGCCTGACTGATCTAATAACGTGAAGCGTGGGTTGAGCACCACTCAGAGGCAAGCCCAGCGCACCTCCACTTCCTTTTTCTTTCCCAGCTTTCCTGAGTTATATAACTGATGCATAACAATGGTGTTCATATGCAGTGTACAACGGGATTATCTGACAGATGTCTACACTGTGTAACAATTGTCACAATAAAGTAACTGACACTCCTATCAAGTCACAATTACCAACTTGTGTCTGTGGGGTGAGAACACTTAAGATTTATTCTCAGTAAATTCCAAGTATACAGAAACACAGTGTAATTAACTATAGTGAGCATTCTGTGCATTAGATTTACATGTTGTACTTATTCATTTCACAACTGAACATTTGCAACCTTTGACCAACATCTCCCCACTTCCCCCCGCCACCCAACCCCTGGTAACAACTTTCATAAACTATAGCTCTATGAATTGACATTTCTGCTTCCCACATATAATGTCTGTCTTCTGCAGTGCTAATCATGTCAGAAATAATAATAGTAAGGTCAGATGTCATAATAATAATTTATGACTAACAGAAACTTCTATATCTACTCATTTCTCAGCAGACTTTTTAAAATTTCTATATCGTCGCTGTTATGAATAATGCAATCATGTTCACTGGACTGCAAATATTTCCCTCACTATAATAATTTCACTTTCTTTGCATATCTAGCCAGAGGTGGGTTTCATAGATTGTGTGCCTGTTCTATGTTGAATTTATTCCCTAACCACCATATTGTCTTAGATAAGGGCCGTGCCATTTAACATTCGCAACAGCAAAGCACAAGGGTTCCCTGTTCTCTGTATGGTACGTGTGTGAGCGCTCATGCACATGTTTTGAGACAGATAAGGAGAGGGAAGTAGAGGAACCATCGCTAGTATGGCAGCAATAACGTAGTAGCTACTCCTTCCCAAAAGGATGAGCTCTGCACTGCCTATCACTGTGGTGTTGCTGGCCCTGATTCTTGGAACAATCTTTCCCTACATCAAAGAACTCAATGGCCCCTCTCAAACTGTGTCCACAGACACACCCAGCAGAGTCCCTCTAACAAAAACCTTCTGCCATTTGAAGCTTAGTGCTCATAACTTCCCTTATAGACTCAAGTGAACTTACAAATGCTCATGGAATCCAAGTCTCCATAAAACCCATATCCACTCATCCTGCTATAAAATACCAGAAAACATCCCAAAACCTACTAAATCGTGCCAAAGGGGAAAATACATATGAAGACACCCAAGGAATACCTAGATGCAAAACACCATACTTTCATTCCCAGTGATCACAGATCACACACTGTCATCTCCAAACACTACAGATAAAAGATGTTCCAAGTGATAAATGTGCCCCAGTGAGAACCCCACATTAACCAAAGAAACACTCCAAATTCTCCAATTTTAGATCTTTCATAGTGCATCTAAAGCTTTCTTTATTTGCAACCCAAAATACTAAGAGAAAAATAACAAAAAAACAAAGACTAAAAAGTTTAAATACTAAAAAGCAGTAAAAAAAAAATTCTCTAAAATTTTCTCTTTATTACTCCTTACTCAGCCTCCCAATAAACCTTTCTCAGCTCCAAACTCCATTTCTGTTTGTTTGGCTTCAATGTGACTTGGACACACAAAGTGTCACTCGGTAACACCTACTCTCTGTGTGAAATGCCTCACCGGTGTTAGCCCCGCTCCTATGCTGATCCAGCGCCCCTCTCCTTATGTTGCTCTCCAATCCCTGCAGATCCGGGTTTTTTATTCACTTCTCTATTCATTGGCTACATTCATGGCTAAACACTCTTTCATTTTACTGTCTCTCTGTAAGATCCTGAACCATCCTTAACATTCCCACTGGTTCTCCCTCATTTTCTCCTTCTCAGTCTCTCTCTCTCTCTCAGTGGCCCTTCATCTCTACTTTTCCTGATCCCCTTCGCCAGGAACAGAAAAGACCATTTCCAGCTGGGTGGGATTTGGGAACCAAACAACACTGGGTGTCATATGGCTGGTCCAGGTCACCTACCCCTACACGATGTCAGGGATGGGTTGACTGTGAAGAGGACGCCTTCAGAGCATAAAGACCGATCTCAGAAGGATCCAAGGAGAGAGAGGCTTGGCCTGGAAGGTGTCTCAGGAGAGGGCCGGGCTCTCCAGAATCCCGGGACCCGGGAGAAAACGTGGCCTCACGGGAGCGGAGAAGCTGGTGCTGCCCTCCAGGGGCGGAGAGGGTGAGGCTGGGGCGCAAATCCACCGGGAGGAAGAGGACTTTAGATGGAGGGGGCAGTGGGAGTAAATGGGTTTAAGCACAAAAATATCTGGCAAGGCACTGTCCATGAGAGAGGAGGGAAGGGGACAGGGTACAACCAGTAGAAGAATGACACAGCAATTAGCACTAAGATGGCGGAAGGGTCAACTCCCACTAGACTTAGAGCCTCCTTATAAGCTCATTGTAATATATTAACATGGTAAATGGCACTCCCACACTTGCCAGGATAGTTCCGAAGCTAACCATGAAAGATTAAAAACTGAGTGATGGCCCCATTTCTGGGAATCCCAGCCCATTCCCCAAAGGGGTTGTAATAATCCTCCACTTACTAACATACGAAGTTATCAAGTCCATAAAAGCTAACCACCCTGCACCTCAGGGCCTTCCTCTTGCCTTTTGAGATCGCTTCCACTCATCTGTGGATTATCTCTCTCTCTCTGAATAAGTCTACCTTCACTCTCTTATAACTCACTCTTGAATTTTTTACTGCAGGAAGCCAAGGACCCTCACTTGGTCAGGCGCATGCCAAAGACTGGCCGAAGACCTGAAACACCGCCATCCACTCGCGCCCCACTGTTCCTGTATCATCTCCTTAGACTAAACACAGAAAAGCCAAGGGAAAAGACCAGCCTCAGAGTGATTTCAAACCCAAAGGAAAAAATACCTCACCTGGAGCAGCGATGTCTGGATTTACATGGCGGACAGCTGGGTGCTGGGATTTTAGGTCTGTAGTGACCCTCACACCCTGAGGCTGGAATAAAGACGACGGAACAGCACAGATTTGCACTAGAAAGCAGAGCAGCGTGACCCTCCCTCAGCACGCTCCACTTCCGGATCCGTAGGAAACTGCGCATGCGCGGAGGCGGGACTTCCGGGAGCGGGCCCTGGCGGAGCGCCAGCGGAGGGGCGGGGCTAGTGGTGGGGCGAGGAGGGAACCCAGATAGACCTGGAGGGCGGGGCAGGAGCGGGGAGGTGATGGTGCTTCCCTGTACCTTTACCCGCTCCTTTCAAGTTACAGTCTGTTGCAGTTTTGAGGTAAAAGCTTACACTTCTGTGGGCACTTATGTCGGAGACTAAGATGTTTCCTCTTAACAACAACGGTTGCAGTAAAAAGTTGTTGCTCGCGTGCATGGATCATGAGACTCAACACCAATTCAGTGGTTGGGAACGCGGTTTCTCCAAGCCGTTGCTGTGGGGCCGTGGTGGATCCAGGAACACTTCCTGAAAGTAGAGTTAATTTAGGCTCTTTAAGGAAAGAAGAGCTGGACTTGTCTCTGTATTACAAAATAGAATGAGAAATAGATATAGGAGATTTCATTGAATCTGATTGTAGTGAATCTGATATAATCGCAACGGTCTTTATAAGAAAAAAGGCACGTTAAGTTTGACTCATGTAGAAATTGATGATGTAATGGAAGCATGTCAACAGAGATAAAGGATTTTACGAGGCTACCTTGCTGCCTTAAAAGAAGGAGGAAACGGACCAAGAGGCAAAAGATTATGTGGCCTCTGGGATCCAGGAAAGACAAAGAAACAAATTTTGATCTGGAGTATCCAGAAGGAACATAGTGCTTTGCACTGGACCCATTTTACATTTCTGACCTCCGAATCAGAAGAGAATATATTTGCTTAAGGCTCTCAATTGGTGGTAATTTGCTACAGAAATAGGAAATTTAATGAAATGATGTATGTACAAAATCAAAAGAATCCCCACAGATTTCTAGAAAAAGCCTAATTTGGAAGGTGGCAGGATACAAGAACAACATTTAAAAGTGTATTGCAATTTTATATACTAGCACCTCAGAAACTGAAATTCAAAACGTAATACCACGTGTGAAGCCTCAAAAAAAGAAAAATGTGTAAATCTAAAAATATATGGGCTTTTTGCTGAAAATGAACAAAATAATAGTGAAAAAAATTAAACATGACCTTTTTATGTAGGTCATCCTAGAGAAACATACCATATTCATTAAACTTTTAGAGAAACACATAAAATTCATTGATTGGAAGGCACAACATAGAAACAGTATTAATCCCCCCAATTTGATCTGCAGGTTTAATGCATTTCCAATTAAGATTTTTTTTGTAGCCACAAACAAGATAATTCTAAAATTAGCATAAGAAGCAAAACACCAGAATATCTGAAAAATGCTGAAGTGGTTGGAATCACTCCACATTACCTCAAGACTGCTAAGAAAATAGCAATTGCTAATAAAAAAGTTCCCATTATACATTATTCATTTGTAAGAGAAAACTCATGAACATGGATCTTTTCAAATTATTTCACTGACTCAAGAACAAAAAAGAGATTTGCAAAATTTTAATTTTCTTATATTTTGTATATGCTTACTATGTTCTTATTTTTGCATCATGTAAATCCAGGTGCGTGCATGGTATTCTTTGGGTACAATTAAGAACAGGAAGCACTACATTCACGTGCTGCATATTCATGAATGTGGAGCAGGCTTTAGAGAGTGTACAAAAAAAGTAAAACAGACCCAAGTAGGAATCCCTTGACCCCAGCACGCAACCCAAGACTTAATTGTTTGACCCCTCCCAGGAATGTGACCTTAAACCAGTCACTCTGGATTTCAACACTAGTGAGGTAATCTACAAGGCAGCATCTTTGCCCTCTCTCCCCCAGTGAAAGGTAACATTGCATAAAGGAATTTTCTCTGTTGGTAATACTTTTCACTCTGCCTGGTTGCTACCTACAAAAACTTTCCATTTTGTACAGGTCCTCTGAGTATCTCTTTATCTCTTTATTTCCTAGATGGAGTGCACCCTGATTCATGAATCACTCCAGAAAGCCAAGTAGTCTTTAAATTTACTTGGTTAACTTTTTGTTCTTTACTAGAAACAGTCTGAAATGTACTCCTATGGTACTTTGATTAAAGCCACAAAAATATTCTGGAGCAGAGTTTGGAGAGAATAACTCAAGGATAAATTATGAGTGTCTAATCACCAAATTGTATGTTTTTGATTCTATCAAGGAAAGAAACTGGTACAGATTCTTTCAACCCTGAATGCCTAATGGCGCACGGTTAGCTTCCGTTATAAAGTACCAAGGTGGAATAAAACTGTTGTTCAGAGGACCATGGTTCACCCAGGGTTATAGAAAATAATAAACTTTATTAGTCAAGACAGGGGACCTAGGATACATTTTGAGTTAAACCGTAGTAAGAGGCAATGGCAGCAGTTAAATATCAATCGTGCACATACATCCACGATTTTGGTATTTTCTCCTTTTTAAATTTCTTTTGTTTGTTTGTTTGGGGGTGGGTAATTAGGTTTACCTATTTATTTTAATGCAGGTACTGGGGATTGAACCCAGAGCCTTGTGCATGCTAAGTCTACACTCTGCCGCTCAGCTAAACCCGCCCCTCAATTTTGTTTTTTTCAGTTAAATCTTCCTCTCATAACAGCTCTCCCTTGGATTTCAAAGAGTAAGACTAAGTTTTCATGGAACATAGATATGTACAACAGCTACTCCCATGCAATGGAGAAAGAGACCAACTTTTCCCGAGCATTGCTCCCACCACATACTCGGTCCCTAGTAACTGGTCACTCTTCTCCCATGAAAAGCCCAGGCCCTTAATGTCCTGCCTGCTCTGTTCAGTCAGCTGAGGTAGAGCTTTCAGTCCTGTAACCTACTGTGACCTATCCATGGACCAGAACCCTGAACATAATGAGCACGATGAGTCATGTGGATACTTGCGGAAATTTTTACGTTTAGTAGATTGGAAACGCTGCTCTCCAAAAGAAGTCCTCTCTGTTCCAGAGCTTCACTCTCCAGCTGCAAGCTTTAGCCCACATACTACTTTGTGCAGTTTCTCCTAAAGATGTGTACTGAGGAGTCCAGCACATTGAGAGGCCTGGATAAAGACTCTGCTCATTAATTTGTATGGTTTCTGCTCAACAGAAGAGAAGATTCTCCTCCTGTTGCCTAATACTTGAACTCAAGGAAAAAGTTCTGTCATGCCCATTGCATCTGAAAGATATCTCTCCAGTATGATCCCTAACCTGTGACCTCTGGGTAAAGCCCTTGCCACACACATTACATTTGTGTGGTTTCTCTCCAGGATAAATAATCTGATATCTACTGACAACTGAGTAAAAATCTGAAACTGTGCCATACTCATAGCATTTTTTAAGTATGAAGTATTTGGTGAACCCTCCATTTAAGGCACAACACAAAAGCTTTGCTACATTCAGTACATCAGTAATGTTCTGTCTCATATGGACTACCTGATGACTGGTGAGAAGTGAGCCCTCAGTAAAGGTTCTCCCCGTTCAGGGCATGTGTGAGGTAATCTCCAGAATGAATTATTTTGTGAATGCATTCCTTACCTAAAGTCCTGGTCATACTACACACATTTACCTGCTTTCCTTCTAGGATACCCTGGAAGCCTAACGTGTGGATATCTGCTAAAACGGATGCCTAAAATCCCTCAGCAGCCTGGATTACCTGAGGGTAAATCAGGCTTCAAAGTAGGATTTGCCATACTTACTACATTTGTAAGCTTTCCTTCCAGTATGAATTCCCTGGTAGATTCCTTTTTTTTGAACTCCAATTGATTTACAAAGTTGTTGGTGGACCCTGAGGTATGAATTTTGACTGAAGACACTGAGACATTCGTTACATTTCTACAATTTCTGTCCATTATGGATTATCTGATGGTGAGGCTTTGCCACACTCATGACATGTCCACCATTTCTCCCCAGGATAAATCTCGCACAAACTTAATGTACCAATTTTGAATGAAGACCTTCCCACATACATCACATTAATATGGTTTCCCCTTTGTATTTATTTCCTGATGTGTAGTGAGGATTGAGATCTGAGTAAAGGCTTTTCAACACCCTTTCCTTTTGAAAGGTTTCTCCTAAGTATGAATTCTCTGATGACTCACAAGGGTTGCTTTTTGACGAAAGACCTTGCCACACTCATTACATTTGTAAGGTTTCTCTCCAGTATGAATTCTCTGATGTCTTGTAAAGTTTGAACGATGACTAAAGACTCTGCCACATACGACACATTTATGTAATTTTTCTCCTGTATGGATTAACTGATGACTCCTGAGGCTTGAGCCCTCGTGAAAGGTTTTGCCACATGCAGTACATCTATAAGGCTTCTCTCCAGTGTGAATTCTCTGATGAACTGCAAGGGATGAATTTCGACTAAAGACTTTCCCACATACATCACATTGATATGGTTTTGCTCCTGTATGCATTCTCTGATGTTTCGTGAGGTGGGAGCCATGATTAAAGGTTTTCCCACACTCGTTACATTTGTAAGGTTTCTCTCCAGTATGAATTCTCTGATGACCTCCAAGGGTTCCTTTTTGCCTAAAGGCCTTTCCACACTCATTACATTTGTAAGGTTTCTCTCCGGTATGAATTCTCTGATGAACTGCAAGGTAGGAATTTCGACTAAAGACTTTTTCACATACATCACATTTATGTAATTTCTCTCTTGTGTGGACGATCTGGTGTCTACTGAGGTATGATTCCTGAACAAAGGCTTTGCCACACTGATTACATTTATAAGGTCTTTCCCTGTGTGCTTTCTGGTCTTGTGTTAGTATTAAAGGATGCATAAAACCATTGCCACGTATGTTACGAATGTTGGTCTGGATACTAGAAGAAATTCCTGGAAGTGGTAAAAATGAGGCACAATTATTGATACTCTTGTTGGCTTGATTAAACTCATCAATTTTCTCCTCACTTTTAAAAATATGCAGGCTGTCCAGAGAGCTTAATGCAGGCCCTTTATCCACAGGCTTGATTCCTGCAATATTTTCATGTTGATCTCTCTTATCAGTAAGGTTTTTCTTATGGGTTACACTCATTGCGTTGTAATTTCCTGCCTCATCTGTCTGCTGTGACTCAAAGTCATATGTATTTTCTCGGATGCTCCTGAGGTAAAAGTGTTTTATTTTATTCCTTTCATGTCCAGCCAACATCGCTGTTTGGAATAGTTCTCCTCTCTCAGTGCTTGCTTTTAGTTGTAATTTCTTGATCACATGTACTTCTGACGTATCTACAACATAAAAAGAACCATAAGTATTTTACTCATCAGAATTTATAAATGAATGTTTCATCTTACACACATGATATTACACTGAAACAAGTAATTACACCAGAGTTATGAATCTATGTACCATTATTTTACAAATTTTAGGAACAAAAAAGGAATAGAATTCTTGAACTAAAGAAAAAGTGATCAGAGATAATTGAAATAAATTTAGGGCACCCTAGTTTCAAACAACCTATGATGAAACACTCACATTAAACAAAATTCTGTTAGCTGTCAAAGAAAGTGTAGTTTTCCACCACGACACCAAAGCACATACCATTAGACATACTGCTCTCTCATAACTGAGAACAGAATATTACACACATATTTTTCATACTTATAAGTAAATGCTAAAGAACAGACAATATAGTGTAGCACTAAATAACCCAAAACTAGCATATCTATTGAACACAAATGAGTGGCCCTTAAAAACTGGGAAAGAAATACAGCATAATGAAAATGAAGAATATGGCAAAACAATTTTTTGAAAAAGAAAATATTTTAAAAAATACCTTCTATAAAATAATATCCCCATAAATAAGCATAAACCATTCTGTGTGACCATCATCTGTGAATCAAAATTAAATACTAATAAATGAAATATTCTCCAATTATGATAACAGTGAATAAGCAGAGCAATTCCCTACCTATGCGGTGCCCTGAAATATCCAGTTCATTGGCTCCAAAATATATGGAATAAAGAGTGAGCAATTTGTAAGTTTATTCATAGGGTCAGAAACAATGCTAATCAGAACCAACTGCAACAGAAATGCATACAAGATATAATGTAAACAAAGGGATGTCATAACCAACATGACAGACTATGAATGTATCTTTGTATATAATAGTATCTTTTCGATCTTCATTATAAAAAATGCACTATTCTTAAAAAAGAATAAAATAATATCATTTGCAGCAACATGGATGGACCTGGAGAGATTGTCATACTAAGTGAAATAAGCCAGAAAGAGAAAGAAAAATACCATATGATATCACTTATATGTGGAATCTTTAAAAAAAAAAAAGACAGAAATGAACTTATGTACAAAAAGTAAACAGACTCAGAAATAGAAAACAATCTTCTGGTTACCTGGGGGGAAGGAGGTAGGAAGGGATAAATTAGAAGTTCAAGATTTGCAGATACTGACTAGTATATATAAAATAGATAAACAAGTTTACACTGTATAGCACAGGGAACTTTATTCAATATCCTGTAGTAACCTACAATGAGAAAGAATATGAAGATGGATACAGGTATGTATATGTACCACTCAAACATTATGCTGTATGCTGTGACACACTGTGATCCAACTCTACTTCAATAAAGGAAAAAAATGCACTATTCTAAGCCATCTAACAGCACTGTAACTTGTAAAGACCCCAAATCACTAATCAAAAACCATTCAACTTAAAAAGCCAGATAGCTGCACTGCAGAATTCTACTCAACATTTAAAAACAATTAAAAGCCACCTTCCTTCAACTCTTTCCCGAAAAACTGAAGGGAAAAGTTCCAAATTCTCCCTGTGAGGTCAGAATTATTCTAATACAAAAGCCAAATAACGGCACTACAAGAAAACCAGAGACTAAAATTTCTAACCAAGAATGATGCAAAAATCACCAACAAAATAATAGTCATGTGAACTCAACAGGACATTAAAAAAATTGTATAAGTAATGGGGATATATTTCTGAAATACAAGGATGGTCCAACATATGAAAATCTAACAATGTTAAATAAAGCAGCATGTTAACAAAATGAAAGAAAAGAATCGTATTAACATCTTAACTGATACAG